AGCACGAATCGTATTAACCGAGCTTCCTCAAAATGGTAACAAACTGGCGATATCACTATTTTGACTACTTTTACACGGAGCCTCCGCACGCACGTCTTCACACGGCAAAGCACATCCGGAAGTCCCTCATCATATGAGAATGTTATGTTATGATTATCTTTGACCGAATCACAGCAGTGCTCATATTAAAAAACAGCATTCCCTCTCATGTGATATTGCTTAATTAACATTAATGATGTGCACTTTAACAACTAGGCTTACAACTATAATATATACAGGGGTGGAAAAGTGACTATTACCTGCAGGGTAAACGTTAGCTAACCAGAAGGCAATAACAATGTAAACAAAAAACACCTGCTTAAAAGATGAATACAAATGAGGAATGGTGGGAAAGGTGACTGTAATTACCTAACGTTACATTATTATTTTCCATAACAATTTAGCCCCCTCCACAATATTAACTGACGTTAAAACAGTTAACTAGCTATTTATTGATTAGCAATTAGCGAATCATGTAACATTAGCTTAATGCTAAAAATTTAGGTTACTATCACATTCAGACAAATAATTTCATGTAGGCTAACGTTACCTACCTCTGTCTTTTTCTCGTTTCTCCTCCTCTTCTTTTCTCTTTTTTCTTCCCTGGGCACCTGACAGTTTTGGCCGTTTTGACATCTTGTGTTGATTTTTTGATGTGGTGACGTCCAAAAGGAACCATGATACGGGAAGGGAGGGGGCGCACCGTGCGAGGAGGGGGGGGGCGTAATGTTGTAACAAATAATATTTCTATTAAATAAGCTTTACTTTGCATTTTGATTAACGTGGGATTATTTTTGTATTTAGAAATAATAGTACCAACTTTTTTTTTTTTTTTTCAACATTTGTGGCACTGGCGTGGCGCCCCCTGATGGACGGCGCCCTTAGCATTTGCCTATACGGCCTATGCCACGGGCCGGCCCTGCTTGTCGGCGTGAGTATCCATGTGAAGGTAATGAAAGCCGTCTGTGATGGGTTTTTTTGTTTTGTTTTGTTTTGTTTTGTTTTGTTTTGTTTAAGTTAACATCAGCTGTGTGCAGCTTAGTTCCAGCACAAACAGCACAAATCTGCTGCTGCATAGTTCACAGTAACGGACTCACGAACAAAGCGACTGGTAACCTAGCTGTTCGCCATTTTCTGTGTGTGTGATCAGAGTCCGGGAATGAGAGCAGAAACAGTTAGTTGATGGTCAGCAGCTTAACTCAGAGGATAGAGGGACAGGTCTGTGTAAATTATTGTTTAATATAGATGTAACAAAAATTCGACATAAACCTCGAAATACAAATACTGCGTCACAAACCTCTGACTCTCTTCTAACAGGAAGTAGGCTTTTGTTCACTGTTTACACCCACAGAAGAGTGGTCTTACTCAGAGACTGACTGGACCAAACGTTTTTATGAACTTTTATTGTTTGTTAAACTTTATTAAATTTAAACATAATCATTTAAAGCTGATTACATATCAATCACAATTGTTACTGACTTTCTCACTGACACGCCTAGGGGAGCCTGAAGCAGCTGTCTGTAAATCATTACCTTATTCCTAAAGCTGATATCAGAGTACAATTAATCTGCACAAGTTTGTGCTTAAAGACATTAAAGTTCCGGTTAGACATCAGTTCATCAGTTCCCCACAGTCTGTGTTCAGCATGAGTGCTGATATCATCAGTCTGTCATCAAAGTAGAGACAGAGCCGGTGATCTCGGTAAGATCTATACATATCTAGAAATACTGAGTTTGTGGACATCAGGGCAGCTTTTTCCCTACATGACTGCTTCCAAACATCACTGAATATATTTTTGGGGAGTTGTTGAACATCTACAGAGAGTCTGGATGTGCTCTGACAGCATTTTACACTGAAATATTCAAAACTCTTAAGTACAGATAAAATGTTGCTAAAACAATAAATTTAAAAAAGATCGATGTTAACGTGAACTATGTCTACAGGCAAACAGAATCATAATCACATGAAGAATGTTTCCAGTGATCAATAATTAATCTGTGAATAAATCGGAGTCCTTTTCATGGATCTTTGTTGATCTTTCTCAGAAATGTATTAAATCAAAGTGTTTTTAAAAATTACGATAGATTTCTCTGTAGTAACAACGGTTTAATGTTATAATTTTAAAGCTGTGAGCTGAAATATGTGTGTGAAATAATCAGTTTCAATTTGTTCCATTGGTTCGTTTTCTGCAGGCAGACTGCAGACTGGGAAACACCAGTCCTTCTTAGTCCTTCTACTCACAACATATAAGAATCCAACTGGAACACGTCCTGTTACTGAGGTCTGTACTACGAAGCAGGATTTGATCTTATCAAGGTAATGTCAGGGTTCTTACAGGGGTATGTTCCCAATGGTAACTTATGCAGCTATTTTTCAGTGTCACGGACCAAACTTTTTCAAACATGCCGCACTTTTAATTGTAAACTTCTGTTCACTACTTTTCCTGTCACACACAGTCATACGTGTGTTTTATTTTTAGCTTGCATTATCAGTTTAATCTCTTCATATACTTCCTATAATATAGGTTTACCTTACTTTGTAAAGTCAGCAGCTCTGTCACGACTACACTCTTCTCTGACTCCTCATGTCTACACCATCATAATGCCCATTAATATAAATATATATATATTTGTTTTGTTATTTTGCTCAGATTATGGTTTTTGTTCTGAGCAACTTATAACAGGTCGCCAGTCTGTCATATGACTAACACAAACAGACAGACAGTCATTCACACTCACATCTATGGGCATTTAGAATCATCAGTTAACCCAGCCCCACTAGCTGCATGTCTTTGGACTGTGGGAGGAAAAAAAATGCAAACTCCACACAGAAAGGCCCTGAACTGGTGGTGGAGTCAAACTCAGGATGTTCACACTGTGAGGCAACAGTGAGCCACCATGCTGCCTTAAAACTGACAAAACTCGAAATAGTTAAAAATTTACTGAAAATGTACTAATTGTGGTTCAGCACAATCATGTTTCAGTTTTTAGCCCTGTTTTGGTTCATCATCCTTTTGGAGGATCTGTGACCTGTGACTGAGACAAAGCTTTCTGATACTGGGCAGCACATTTCACTGCCCAGTATCTAGGGTTTTGTTGTTGTTGTTGTTTTTTGTTGTTGTTGTTTGCAGGAACACTTTTCTTTCACAAATAATCAGATTCATCCATTATTTATTACTTATATTTATCCAACATGATTCCTTCCAGATGTCTGAAGTAATGCTGGTATCTGTACTAACTGGAAGAAGTAGTCTGTAAACAGTTTTGTTAATATTTCAACCTTTGCAGTACAAATGTTCATATTTCAAATAAAGCAAGCAGGCTGGGTGTGACAGCATCAGAGTCACAGCAGGAAGTTGTTGCTGTTGTTGTAATCATTGATAAGTTCAAAGACATATTAAGGTAGAGCAGCTGATCTTTGAGCTCTGAGATGCATCTTAAAACTCTTTTATGATTTAAAGTGTTCAATGTGGCGGCAGCCAGATCACAGAGAAGAAGCAGAGGATTTTCTGTTTTTCTAAACAGACGTGGTCCACACAGTGGAGAACCAAAGAGTGAAGAAGTTCATTGGAAGAAGCTGAGTAAGTGAAACTTGGATTCATTAGAGTCTCTGAGGTTTTGTCTTCATCACAAATCAGCTGCTGCTCTTTGTTAGTGTGTTTATGCAGAAAACTGATGAGGACTGTGATACATTGGATAAAGACTCAAAACCATAATGTGCCTTGAATATAAACTTGACAAAATCTACAAGTAGATATTTGGTTTACTCTCATCTCTTCAGGCGAACAGTCTGTGTCAGTGTCTTCAGATGGCTGCAGGTTTTTAACCAGCTTCATTAAATGTTTCTCATTCTGCATTTCATATCACATCTGCCACTGTTTGAGCCTCTTTAACAGAGGAGATCAGACTGTAATGTGATATTTAGTAAGATTCAGTTTTCTTGTGAACTCTGAACAGATTAGATTAGATAGAGGCTCACAAATCAAACTATAAACTATAAAACAAGCTCTGATTTGAGTTCAGATGGTTCAAATGCTGGACTCCAGTCTGACTGATACTCAAGTTGTTTTATGGGCATCAAGGTTCATGTTCATTTGTTAAATATTCTCCATAATTCATGGATAATATTTAACAGGAATCAGTGAGCGCCCCCTGCTGGTTCCCCCTGAGTGCTGCTTGTCAGTCTACAGTGATACTGCAGGATGGATTTATGGAGGCTTTGAGGGATTCACTGCAGTTCTGCTGTAGTTGGTCCCTCACAGCTACATAATCAGTTGCAGTGCCACTGATACGAGCTACACCAGTTCTATGGTGCCTACAAACAAGACATAAAATACCAACAGATTGTAAGGGAGACCAGGTAGTGTGAACACATATGTGACATGTAAGGTGTGGATAGATAGACAGAAAATCAGTAATAAATAAAAGGTAAAATTAAATAGCCTGTCTCACTCATTGCTGATAATGTGCGGTAATAGGGATAATGATAAAACTAGAAAGATGCCATTGTTATGTTCTGTTAATGAAAACTAATTTATTATCCTCATCTAAATAAACTTCTGTTTCAATAATCACAACATATGCATGTATAGAATCATGAGCAATTTGCATTAAATAAATAAATAATTGATTTTTTCAAAACCATTTAAAAACTCTGCGTACTGCCACAATGTGATGTTTTATTCTTCCCTGGAGGCTATATCTCTACCACCATTATTTATTTATTTTCATAGAAATCTTCCATAGATGTTAATTCAGGATTATTTTGATTGCTGTGTCTCTGATAAAACCTCAGTAACATCTGCAGCTGCAGCTTTTGTTGTGAAAGTGGAGTTTCAGAACAGAAGTTTGATTAATTGATTCTCTGAGGTTTTGTTAGCGTGTTTATGTAGAGAACAGATTTATTTCATCTTTAATGTCTTGGGAATCAAACCACAAAGTTCCTCCAACAATAAACTCTAAAAGTCTGTGAGCTGATATTTGTAGAGTCTGTAGGTAGAGATATATTCTCCTCACATCAGAATAACTGTCTGAGTGTCTTAATCAGAAGACTGCAGGTTAGCTTCAACATCATGAAATGTTTCTCACCATCCACTTTACATCACATCTAGAACTGTCTGGTCCTCTTTAACAGTGAAGTTTGAGTGTGATGACATGTTTATTAGGACTCAGTTTTCACTTTGACCCTGAAGCTCTGGGCTCATAGTCAAACTATAAAACTGGAGATGTGATATGAGACACTGGTGCACGTGACGGATTCCAGTTTGATTTTGATGGCCAGATTGTTTTATGGAGGAGTTCATTATTGTGCTAATGAAGAGGTTCAAAGGAAGTTTGAGGTTGTTATCACCATCTGGTCAGAATGTGAAAAAAACAGCCATCAATCTGTTGAAGTATATTTCAGTTGATTGAATTGTAATCAGTGGTAACTCAACTTAAAGGAAGACACACATGGACTGGTAAACTCTAAATGAGAAAACAAGGTTGGACTACAAGTCACTAACCTAACTTACGAATAAAGGTTTAAACTCAAGAGACCAAATCAAACTCACCTCAGCTCCCACCCTATGTGAGAGTGAAATGAGTGAGTTGTAAGTGAGTGCAGTCCTTATATAACGTGTGCCAGATGAGTGCAATTAAGGGACAAAGTCCAGAGCCAATCAATGGTGAGAAAAGGAAACAAGGCCAATCTGGTGAGCTGAAGGAGAGTGGGGAAAAAATGGTAAGAAAAACAAGAATCTTTACAACAGCCGCCCCCATATTTCTAGTTGGAAATATGTTTAAATTACCATAGTCAAAAGTCCTTTTCAGGAAGTGAAGGCAGGGGGATGAGACATGCTACAGGTTTTTGTATATGTTTTATCCCGCACTGCGACTTCTACTGTTCTTATGTGGCTATCTGTGCTCTTTAGAAGGCGTGTTACTTTCCCTACAGGCCAAACACTTCAGTGGGTTGACCCAGAGGTAGACGGCATAAAAGTCCACAATTCAAAGTTCAAGGGGCTGGCTGCGTGGAAAGCGGCGGCAGCGCGAATTTAAATTTGATCACGCCTGTATCCAATTCAGTTCCAGTCATTTCCTGGCTCACAGCTACTTATTGTGTCCCAACATGATCTGTATTTAAAAATGGCTCATCCTCAGTAAGAATGGAACTTTGAACTTTAATGCTTTCTGTTTGTGTAGAGACACAGAAAAACTTTGATTTGATCTTATTCATGAGATCAAATGAGGTTTTGTGAAGTTATGCTGTGCCTGCTTCCTGAACATGTTGATGGGAGGGAAATCAAAGGGCAGATTTAATCTCATGCCAACAGGAAGGAAAGGAGAGAGCTGTTCCTGTGTCACCTGGGAGAGTGATATTTACAGGAAAATCAGAGATGTTTAAAGTGAGGAAATGGAAAAAGAAGAAAAGAAGGAACCTTTACTTTTGACGTTAAAGTCTGCTGCTCCTGCTGAGCATCTCCTTCCTGTCCTGCTTCAGGTGGAGTCTTGACTCCTTCCAGGAAGTAGCTCACCTGTGTGTCAGTCCATGTGTGGGGTGGAGATTCTTCTTCAGCACTTTCAAAAATTAAATGCAGTTTGCTCTATGACATCACTTTTTTTCATTGTCTCCAGATGCACAACATTCTAGTGATAAGGAATTTGAAGATCCATCATCTAGTATCTCTTCTGTCCACAGTTGTTCACTAAGCCAGAGTGAAATTGGTTAGTCTGAGATTTAGATCTGCCAAAGGAAGCGACTGAGTTTCCTGCATCTAGCCCTCCTGTCGTGTTCACCTCCCACCCCTTACTTTAGTGTTGACTGGTCTATTTCAACAGCTCTTAAATTAGCATAACAAACATTTTTCACCACCAAATTCAGTTCAGTGGGTCGTTCAGTGGTCATTCAGTGGGTAATCAGATGTAAAACACAATATTTATGAGTGTTTTAAGTTGTAAATTGGTCAAACTTCCAGTCACAGTGAATTAGTGTGTGTCAGTGAATGCATCATGTGTGCTTTATGGCTCCATCTAGTGGACTGATAGTAGAAGTAGAGCAGCTGATGGCAGCTTCCTCTGCCTCACACTGCTGTCTGACTGCATTCAGCTGACACTGAGAGGAAGGACAAAAGAAGCAGCTGACATTTGGACAGCACACGTGATGGAAAAGAAGATTTCAGTTGATGTGCACATGAATGATTTGTGTTTCCTCTGCAGGTGAAGGTAGAAAGTGTGTGTAAGCTGATGTGTATGTGTATTTAGCAGCATGGATCAGTGTGAGGACAGAGAGGAGGGAGTCCCTCCCTCTAAAAGAGCCAGAGAGAGCCAGACCACAGCTCAGAGGTGAGATGACCATCTCTAACGGTCCATGACTCTTCTCCATGTCACAGCTCAGCACTCACATCACTGCTCCATCATTATTCACAGGAAGAAACGAGGAACTAAACGTAAACATCAACCTGAACCCAGCTGTGTGTCCTTAAAAAGTGATGAGTCAAAGGACTTTAATGTTGATTTCAAAGAAAATTCTTCTGCTGCAGAGAGGTAATGTGTCACTAAATGCTGTTTCTTAAAATGTTTACATTATGTTTAATGCCAGCTCAGCTCTTTTCACACACATTTCTATGTTCGTATGTAAAGCTGTGTGTTTTGGGAGTTTTTCTTTTCATAAATACAGCAGTCAAAGATTGAAGAATGAGTTATTTGTAGGATATGTTTCTATAGTGAGTGTACTTTTTACATATTGTATTAACACAATTGACCTAAATACACTGGAAGGCCATGAAGTTGGAGTGGGAATTATTATGCTAGATGTTTGTACCTATGTACTGGATTTGTGCTGACCTATTTACACGTTTTAAGTACATTTATATCATATGTTATACTACTATATGAACACCTGTTAAAGAAGAGTGTTTGTTTTGCAAGCTAATTAGTACTAATGGTTAGTTTAGAAAGTTTTCGTTTTTATAGTTTTTATTTTATAAGAGGTTCACCTGGTGATTATGATTAGTTATGGCTCTTTTGATAGTGCAAATTGTTTGATACTAAAGAAATTCCTAATTAGTGAGATATATGGTTTATTTTGGGAGGGTAACCCGTTTTTAAGTCATAAAAATGTCAAGTAGATTAATTAATTATTTCTTTCTTTAAGACAACCATAACAGCCATGATTTCTAACTCTAAGTTAACATCAGCCACAAAAACCTATCAAAAACGACAATAATGAAGATGGATGACAAGCTCTGGGAAGAATGTTCACAAAGTTCTTGATCTCATGGGATGTACTTCATAGAGGGGTTCATATAAATTTATTATTTTGGCTTTAAAATTTAAGACCTGACTAGTCCGAAACATAAAAATGAAAATAAACAAAATCCAAAACAAAACTCTTCATACTTGTCACCTGATCTGATCTTCTCAAATGTCAGAGAGAAGATTCTCAATTTGACACCAAGACAAACAGCAAAGCATCTGTTGTGTCCTTTAGCTTGTATTTATATCTGTGTGGAAAGTCATAATGTGAACTAATTCTTTATGACTCTTTATAGAGTGGACCAGAAGAGTTCAAAGGTTCCCATTGATCAACCTGCCAAACACCATCAGACACATTTGGACTCTGTATTTATGGTTTGTACATGCAGAAAAACAGCTCTTACATCTGTTCTGTTTACTCCATTCTGGACTTTATAGACCACTGAATTGTTAATGTTTCCATCGTCTGAGGTTTTGGTCAATTTCAGTCTGGCTGGATTATTCATATCATCTTCTGTTCCAGCTACTGGAGGACAACATCATCACTTTTGTGAAGAATGAGCTGAAGGAGATCCAGAAAATTCTAAGTTCAGATTACCCAGAATCCTTAGGGAGCCAGAAAGAGGATGAGGAGGTCTTGGAGGGTGAAGATAAAGAGGAGAACAGAAACAGCACAGAAGCATTTTTGAAAATCACACTGCACTTCCTAAGGAAACTGAAGCAGGAGGAACTGGCTGACTGTCTGCAGAGCAGTAAGAGGATGTCTTTAAAGATTTAAGCTGCTGCATAAATGGGAAATTTAGGAATGTCTCAAGAAATGGACCAACATAGATTCAAAAACCTATTCTTTAGGCAAGAAAAATGTAAGCGTATTTACTAAATAATAATTCCATAATTAAATGTATTTATTTTGTGTGTTCAGAAATATTTGCTCCAGATTTTCGACATGAACTCAAATCTTCTCTGAAGAATAAGTTCCAGTGTGTGTTTGAGGGGGTTGCTAGAGCAGGAAACCCAACCCTTCTGAATCAGATCTACACAGAGCTCTACATCACAGAGGGAGAGACTACAGAGGTCAATGAAGAACATGAGGTCAGACAGATTGAAACAGCATCCAGGAAACCAGACAGACCAGAAACAACAATTAAACAAGAAGACATCTTTAAAGCCTCACTTGGAAGAGAACAACCAGTCAGGACAGTGTTGACAAAGGGAGTGGCTGGCATTGGGAAAACAGTCCTAACACAGAAGTTCAGTCTTGACTGGGCTGAAGACAAAGCCAACCAGGACATCCAGCTCATATTTCCATTCACTTTCAGAGAGCTGAATGTGCTGAAAGAGGAAAAGTTCAGCTTGGTGGAACTTGTTCATCACTTCTTTACTGAAACCAAACAAGCAGGAATCTGCAGCTTTGAAGACGTCCAGGTTGTTTTTATCTTAGATAGTCTGGATGAGTGTCGACTTCCTCTGGACTTCCACAAAGCTACAATCCTAACTGACCCTAGAGAGTCCACCACGGTGGATGTGCTGTTGATTAACCTCATTAGGGGGAATCTTCTTCCCTCTGCTCGCCTCTGGATAACCACACGACCTGCAGCAGCCAATCAGATCCCTCCTGAATGTGTTGACATAGTGACAGAGATCAGGGGGTTCAATGACTCACAGAAGGAGGAGTACTTCAGGAAAAGATTCAGAGATGAACAGCAAGCCAGCAGGATATTCTCCCACATCAAGACATCAAGAAGTGTCCACATCATGTGTCACATCCCAGTCTTCTGCTGGATCACTGCCACAGTTCTGGAGGATGTGCTGAGAACCAGAGAGGGAGGAGAGCTGCCCAAGACCCTGACTCAGATGTACATCCACTTCCTGGTGGTTCAGGCCAAAGTGAAAAAAGTCAAGTATGATGGAGGAGCTGAGACAGATCCACACTGGAGTCCAGAGAGCAGGAAGATGATTGAGTCTCTGGGAAAACTGGCTTTTGAGCAGCTGAAGAAAGGAAACCTGATCTTCTATGAATCAGACCTGACAGAGTGTGGCATCGATATCAGAACAGCCTCAGTGTACTCAGGAGTGTTCACACAGATCTTTATAGAGGAGAGAGGACTGTACCAGAATAAGGTGTTCTGCTTTGTTCATCTCAGTGTTCAGGAGTTTCTGGCTGCTCTTCATGTCCACCTGACATTTATTAACTCTGGAGTTAATCTGCTGGACGAGCAACAAAAATCATCGCATCAGTGTGAAACAGATGAATACTTCTATGAGACTGCTGTGGACAAGGCCTTACAGAGTCCAAATGGACACTTGGACTTGTTCCTCCGTTTCCTCATGGGTCTTTCAATTCAGACCAATCAGACTCTCCTACAAGGCCTGCTGACACAGACAGAAAGTGGCTCACAGACCAATCAGGGAACAGTTCAGTATATCAAGAAGAAGCTCAGTGAGAATCTGTCTGCAGAGAAAAATATCAATCTGTTCCACTGTTTAAATGAACTGAATGATTGTTCTCTAGTGGAGGAGATCCAACAGTCCCTGAGATCGGGACATCTCTCTGCAGATAAACTGTCTCCTGCTCAGTGGTCAGCTCTGGTCTTCATCTTATTGTCATCAGAAAAAGATATGAATGTGTTTGACCTGAAGAAATACTCTGCTTCAGAGAAGGCTCTTCTGAGGCTGCTGCCCGTGGTCAAAGCCTCCAGCAAAGCTCTGTAAGTAAAATGGACTCATCTGTGTCTGTTTAAAATGTTTATTCTACTTACCTGAACAAAACAGAACAACAACAAAAGAAAACAAAACACAGACTGTGCCTAGTGTGCCTGTGTCAGTGGGTACTACACAAGTATGACTAAATCTACCAGCTCCTCACTGGTTTAGATTTAATTATATAGGCATAGTTGTGTTTTTACTGGGCAAATTTAAGGTGTTTTATATTTGACAAATTTGAGACATGTTTTAATTTATTTTAAATAACCAAGAACTGTAGTACACACTCTGTTTTCCTTTAATACGTTCAATATTAAGTGATTTAATTTAACCACTATTATCATTGTTTTTCAGACTTAGTGGCTGTGACCTCTCAGAGAGAAGCTGTGATGCTCTGTCCTCACTTCTCAGTTCCCCGCCCATTAGTCTGAGAGAGCTGGACCTGAGTAACAACAACTTGCGGGATTCAGTAGTGAAGCTTTTGTCTGTTGGCCTCAAGAGTCCATACTGGAAACTGGAAACTCTCAGGTCAGGTTTCAGACTTTTACACTGATTACCACTTAAAATCTGAACCATATTAGTGCATAAGCCACTACCTGTACAGAATTCTTTAGTCACTTTGAATTAAATTTGGTTGGAATATTGTCTGAAAAGGTTTTTCTTCTTCAAATTCTTTTGTTTTTGAACTGGTAACAATTACTGATATGCATGACACTGGTTTGAACATACACCGGTTACCAGGCTAGTTTAAATCCAGAGAATTACATGTCCAGGTGTATTTCTATTTTTTACTCTTTTCACTCTTTGCAACGAAATATTCTGGAATTTTAAAATATATATTTTCAAAGTCTTTCTGTGTGGAGTTTGCATGTTCTCCCTGGGTCCTCCAGCTTCCTCCTATAGTCCATAGACATTCACTTTGTGGGGATAGGTTAATTTGAAAATTGCTCATAGGTGTGAATGTGGGAGTGAATGTGAGTGCAAATGGTTGTCTATGTCTATGGTCAGGTCATAGACTGGTGACCTGTCCAGGGTGTACCCCGCCTCTCGCCCTAAGACAGCTGGGATAGGCTCCATCCACCCCCCACGACCCTGAAAAGAATAAGCAGACGCAAATGGATAGATGGACTTTCAAAGGTTGATTTCTCAAAATGAGAGTATTGGGAATTTAATGTCACAGCAATTAATGTTGACTGTGATATACTTCACACCCTGCAAATCTCAATTAGATGGAAGTGATTTGACTTTGTTTTTCTTCGATGCCATGTGTCACCACAATTTATAGACGCTACCTAAACTTTACTTTCACACAGGTAGATTGTCTTGTTAATAGTATTGAAACTTCATGGATGGATAACACATGAGGATTAGACTGAGTTAAACACTGAGCAGAACCCATATTAATAAACGAAGACTAATTCATTTCAAAGTTTCCTTCTTATTCCTTAGTCCTATAAGTATATTTATTCTTGACTTTCACAATCCATTGCAGCCAACACATCCTACACTAATGCTAACTCCGAGTTGTTCCCTATAATTGCAACCCCTTTACCTTAAATATAAAATAAACATCACAAACACATCAAATATTAACTGTTCTCTGGGCCTATTTATTTTTGTCGCAAGTTTGCCACTGTTCCGATATCATTTTAAATCAAATAATCATCAATTGTTTTCTTAGCTCACAAGGGTTTAACTTATAAGCGCCTTGAGGCGACTTTTGTTGTGATTTGGTGCTATATAAATAAAATTGAATTGAATTGAACTTATTGCCTTTGGAATAGTTTGAAATCGTTACTGAAGTTACAACCAAAAAATAAAAATCTGAAATTGAATGAGTATTTAGTACGAGTGTGACTACCTTTAGCTTGATGTTTAAGAATGTATTAATTTTTGGTTTTTAATTTATACTTATTCTAGATGGCATTACCTCAGCTTCTGGTAACACTGTCATGAAACTTGAATACACTTTTTTAATGATATGTTCTTTGATGTGCACATTTAACAAATAACTGGAATTGCTCTATTTAATGTTTCTAGAATTAGAAACAAAGTCTCAGAGTAGTGCTGATGGGTAGCATTTATTGCTTTGAGGTTAAACTGCTTTAAAAGCTCCCTGAAGCATCTTTAACTTAAGCAAAACCTTCCAGTGGGAGTACTGAGAGTGACTAGAAAGAGAGAGATCAAATTTTATCCATATTGGCTTTTCATCAGTGGCTTCCTGCTATATCCAGAGCAACAACTTCTTCTCATTTACAACAGCAAAAATAAGCATTAACACATCACCAACTTTCTAAGTAAATATATTTCTATTTGGTGCTGTTGACATGAAATTATCACCAGATGTCAGCAACAAACAAAGAAATCAAACCATTGATGGCCATTAATTATGTGTGACAATGAGAAACGATACAGGGAAAAAGTATTGAATACATGAAGCAAAGGAGGTGTAAAAAGGCATGGAACATCATGGTAATTAGAAAGCAATCTTTCCACTCAATGCAAGTTAAAATGATTTGTCAGGGTCACAACTGATGGCCTATGTGTCTCATAACCAAGGTGTCACACAAGAAAAATATCACTATGTTTTTAACTGATGAGATCTCTCAAGACCTTCACAATTGCTGCAAAGCGTACTGATGGTATAGGCTAAGGAAGAATTTCTGAACTACAGAAGGTTCCAGTGAGCTCTGTTGGCGTCATAATCCAGAAGTAGAAAGAACATAATTTCAAAATAAACTGACAATGACAAGGTGCTCCCCACAAATGCCAGACAGACAAGTGAAAAGAATTATCCAAGATCCAAGAACCACTTGTGAGGAGCTACTGAAAGACCTGGAAACAGCAGGTATAATTGTTGCTAAGAAAAGTAATTCACTCAACCACCATGGCCTATTAGCACTCTGATCGTGCAAGAATCCATTACTGAAGAAACACCATGATTTAAAGTTTGCTGAAAATTATTTAGACAAGCCTGTGAAATACTAGGAGAATATAGTCTATTCAGATTGGACCTAAATTAAAATCTTTGGATGCCATAGTATTTCACTGTATTTCACCCCCAAAACACCAGCAGTGACGTTTGGATGTGGGAACATCATAGTGTATTGGTATTTTTCAGCACAGGGCACTTGCATGCTTCATATACTTGAAGGAAGGATGTTTGGAAAAATGCAACGAGACATTCTTGATAAAAATCTGTTGCCATCTACCAGGATGATGAAAATGAAATGAGTGTGGATGTTTCAGTCAAGGAAACTCTCAATTGTTTTCAGAGAAAGAAAGTAAAGATTGGCCCAGCCAATCACCCAAACTGAATCCAACTGAAAATCTATAGCAAGATCTAAAGGTCAGAGTTCGTAGAATGGAGCCTTCCAGATTTGAAGATTATTTTTGATGAAGAACCACACCTGAACGATGCATGTGACTAATTTCTCCATACAGGAGGCATCTTGAAGTTGTCACCGCCAACAAAAGCTTTTAGACAAAAGAAAAAAGAAGAAGAACTCTTACTAAAATTTTCAACACTAGAAAACATTTTTCCTGTGTCCTTAAATTAAGTTTATTACACAAAACTTGATTTAAGGACATCTATGGTTTAATTTCTTTGCAAGTGTGGATTGGATGGGTTATTACACATATCTTTTGAGAATTTCATGCCAATAGCACCTTTAGAAATAACTTTACTTAGAAAATTGGTGCTGTGTTCGGTACTTACTTTATCCAGTCAAATAGAGCACTTGACACTAAGACTGCAGACTTACTTATGGCTGTTAGAATTTGTATAACTAGGATAGAGATCTCTCTTCTATGGAACCATAAGTTCAGAAAAAAGACACCCTTCATACTTATAGCTTACAGTTAGGACTGGATCAGGTGACTGAACCACATTTTAGCCATGCTAGAATAAATGCCTTACACCTTACACAATTTAACAACTTGAAACAGCTGTTGTTGTCTGTTGCATGTGGTCACTATAAATAAAGATACATTGATTTAATGGATGAAAATGAATATGGATGCGTTTTTTAGAAAAACTAAAAAACATTTAAAATAAAGTGTTCACAGATGGATTGTTATTTTTGTGTGTCTGCAGTCTTTCAGGCTGTCTGATCACAGAGGAAGGCTGTACTTCTATAGCTTCAGCTCTGAGCTCCAACCCCTCAAATCTGAGAGAGCTGGACCTGAGCTACAATCATCCTGGAGACTCAGGAATGAAGCTGCTAAAGGATCTACACTTGAGCCTGGACACTCTCAGGTATGGAAAGAATATCTGATAGAGGAGAAAGAGCTGGAAACATTTTCTGTGTACTTCACTTAGCTCTTGTTTGTTTCATGTAGATGTGACATGAACAATAACACACTGAGAACAATCTTTCCTTTGCTTACAACAAAAACACCAGTCTAACTGAACAATAACAAGAGGTATTTATGTAGGTGGGCACCATTTATTCATCATTTTGATCTCTGTAGGTTTAACTATTAACTCATTTTCAGTATTTCTGTATTCTTTGTATAGAGACAGGTTTACGGCCTGTTTATCCTAGCAGAAAGACTGTACGCAGGGGAAACCTTCAGCCTGGCTTGATCAAAAATAAATCATTAGAAAAGGTTTATAATTAAAACTGTGGTAGAACCTGACAAGCACCAGGCATTTTTTCTGTACATTTTAGAGCATGCAAGCTTGCAGAATTTAAAAAAAAAAAGTTTTTATTCATAGCACTTTTTATGAACAAACGGCAGTGTTTTTCTAAATTAGTGCACAACATAGAATAATGTTATTTAAAGCAACACAAAAATAAAAAGTTAAATCAAATGAAATAAACAGCTGAACTGAACAAAACAGGAATTTAAAATTGGCACAGAAGCCATTTTAAGCTAGATATCGTGATCAACAGCAATCATCAACACTTCAGTTCACTATTTCAAAGCAGTGCATCAAAGTAAGTAATTTTATTTTCACTTGATTATTTGAACTACAGTTATAACCAAATTAAAGCAGTAATATAATATATTTTTTAATTTTGCTTAACAGATGCCAAAGAAATCAGTGGTAAACAAAACTGCAGTGTTGGAAGTCCTTAATGCTTCAAAAGAAGCAGTCAAAAAAAATGAAACATTTCAACTCCAAGTGTTGAAATATGGCAAAATCTGTGCAAAGAACTTTATGAAAAGATGACACCAATAGCACTTTACACTTTTGTTAAATTAAACACAACGTTTGATCAAATCTAAGCAATCATTCAGATGCTGAAGCTTAGATAAATTCTCGGGCATAAAAGAAACGTACAACTGAATATCATCAGCATAACAGTGATAAGAAATGTCCTCAAAAGAGCCCATTATGTGCTATATTAAAAACAATAAAGGCCCCAAAACTGACCCTTGAGGGACACCATAAGTAAGGGAGGTAGAGGATGACCTAAAATCGGAGACTGCCACAGAAAAGGATCGGTGATGGAGATAAGAGGAGAACCACTCTAATGCAGTTCCAGATACACCAACCCAATTTTTCAGCCTTTCAATGAGGATGTGATGGTCAACTGTGTCGAAAGCTGATGTGAGGTCCAACATGAGTAGAACAGAGCATTTTCCTGCATCATTATTCATCAAGATATCACTTGAGACCCTAAGAAGAGCTGTCTCCATGGAGTGAAATTGACAAAAACCAGACTGAAACTTATCGTAAATGCCATGTTTATCTAGAGCTGCCATAAGTTGCATAGCCACAACCTTTTCTAGAAGCTTAGTAATTAACGGTAACTTAGAGATAGGTCTGTAGCTGCTCCAAAGAGAGGGGTCTAGCTGACGTTTTTTTAAAAGTGGGAGAATAGCAGCGTTTTTAAAATAAACCGGAACTATACCAGATGCCAGTGAAGAGTTGATTAAAGTGAGCACACATGGGCCAATAGACTGGAAGACATTTTTGAATAATGATGCAGGTACAATGTCAAGTGAACAGGAGGATGCTTTCACAGAATTCACTAATTTCACTAGCTCAGGTAGTGAAACAGGAGAGAAAGTATCCAAGATAATGGGCCGAGATGGGGTAGAGATCGAGATAACAGGTGCTGAGTGTGTAAAATTGATTCTCACGTTATGAATATTTGCAAGCAGAAAAGAGAGAAAATTTTCACAGTCCTCGTTAGAAAAAATAGGGGCTGCAGGCAGAACAGGATGTCACTTATGGTGTTGAATAGCACCTTAAGATTGCCTCTGCTCTTTGTAACCAAGTGTGAGAAATGGGCAGCCCTCGCATCTCCGATCGCATTATTAAAAGAAGCTAAAAGGTCCTTAAGATAGAGGAGGTGAACATTTAGATGAGTTTTCCTCCACCTGCGCTCCGCTTTACGACAATCACATTTTAGACAACGAATACTGTCATTTAGCCAAGGAGGAGATTTGGAGGCAGAAACACTCCTCGTCTTAACCGGACAAATTTCATCTAAAATAGAAAGGCAATAATTATTAAAAAGACTGGTTGAGAAATCAACACCATTTTGAGGAGATAGCTGTAAGTTAAAAGCATCCACAAATTTCTCCGCTGTGGAGGAGTTTAAGATGCGAGAGCTAACCATCCGTATAACGGGGGACAAAGGCTCATTAAAAGAAAAGTTAAAAATAATAACATAGTGATCAGAAATAAAAATGTCCTCAGAGCAAATAAAATCATTATTTAAACCCAAAGTAAAAAAAACAAGGTCCAGTGTGTGACCTTTGCTGTGAAAAGAAGCAGAAGTTGCTGGACAGGATGGTAAAGCTTCAGAATCCACACCAGGCCTCCACAAACTGGAGAGGTCTTGCAGTCCCACCAAAGAAGAGGAAATTCACTTCATACTTCTCCCTTGGTCCTGAATGGCTCCACTCAGATCCAGTAAAAAAAAGAAAGAAGTAAAGCTAGGGCTGCTAAAAATGGAAATAATCAACAGCCAGTCAAGCTTGGCAAACGACAGCACTGTTTCATGAACACCTGTGCCTTTGATGCCTTCTGTAAAAGTCTGTGCTCTGCTTTCTGTGACAGTCTCTCTGCTCAAAACATGTTGAATAGTTCAGAGGAGAATAAAGTATTCCAGCTTGTGAAATCCCTTGCTTAAAAGGGTGTCATTCAACATACCTATTCTTTGAGGGCAGAGGTTCTGAGGTCAATATTCTGCCCTGTTCAGTTGAAGACTGGTGTGCATCATGTTGATGCACAGTGCCATGTGTCCACAGTAATTCAGAAAACAATGACAGAAAATCAAAGTGTTAACTTCACTCACATTGAACAGTCTATTTTGCATACTGTGTTTATACACAGATCAGGCACAACATCATAACCACTAACAGCTAAAGTGAATAACACTAACCTGTTAGTTGGTGGGATACATTAGGGAGCAAGTGAATACCTTGTCCTCAACATTGAGTTAGAAGCAGGAAAAATGGGCAAATTTAAAGATTTGAGTGAGTTTGACAATGGCCAAATTGTGATGGCTGGATGACTGGATCAGAGCATTTTCAAACCTGCAGCTCTTATTATGAGTTCCCAGTCTGCAGTGGTCAGTATCTATAAAAAGTGGTCCAGGGAACAGTGGTAAATCAGTGACAGGGTTATGAGTGACCAAGGCTCACTGATGCACATGTGGAGCAAAGGCTGGGCCCTGTGGTCCCATGAATTTCAACTTAATATTAATGAATTATGAATTAATTACATCATTACAAAGAAACCTTCCGATTCCACAGACTAATTTCACTTCAGATGAACATTACACTAACTCACAGAGTTATTTAATCTAGAAATGTCAATCAGACTGACTTGATAATAAGCAACTCCATGCATCGATTCCCATGCCACCCCTCATTCCCACTCAGCTTTTCAGATCACAGCTTCCAACATTTGCTTCAGACTACATCCCCAAGGTGAATAAAACACCATCAGCAGTGAGCTCTATAGATCGGGTCGGAGGGGATGTGGTGGATTTCTAAAAGCCTGAATCCACATCATTTCACCCTGAAGAAATTCAGCAAAATTGTTAAAATGTGTGACCTGACAGAACACAATGAGATGCTGAGGGACTGTTTCGAAACCACAAACTGGTAGACTGGTAAAGAGGGCCAGCTTTGTCCTGCCCAGTCACCTACACCCATAGAGCCCCATTATTTACCTTTTTCTGATTTTACTTTTCTAATATATCTCTAATTGCTGCTGTAACTAGTAGTCTTTCTTCAGCGTGGCATTAAATCATTTCTGTATCGATGTGTATTTCTATCCAGGAACAGTTGAAATCAACAGTAATTTAATCCACTTGATTCATTTAATCAGTAATAAAATATACCAAAATGTCAGATTGAAAATCGGATTACTTATGTAATATCTAAACTTATTTGACCAGGTTATATTTAAGAGAAGTAATAAAAGCAAAAAAACATAACGGTCTGATTGAAGATACTTACATGACAACCACAGGAAGGGACTTTAGAGACATTTTCTTTAAATGTGTCAAAATGTTTGACTGTTCCAACGTAGAAAATGAACCTCAGTTTGATTTAAATGAACTAAATAATGCAATTTAAAAATGAAAAAATAAAAACTTAACAATGTGTATGAGAGCAATGTAATGTCCATGTGTGCATGCTGAAAGAGACTGTGCTGGTCTGATCCCCCTCCTCCTTTCAGGGTGGAGCCTGCTGGAGTCCGATGGTTGACACCAGGTCTGAGGAAGTGTAAGTGTGTTTTTAATGTGATTCATTAAAAACATTCAACCATCTTCAAACTGTCACATCACTCATTCACATTTCTGATGTCAGGAGTCATCATCAAAGTGTCAATCAATGAACAGATGATGGATCAATAACTGCAGCTGGATTGTGTTTGTTCTCTCCATCAGATTCCTGTCAACTCACAATCGACACAAACACAGTACACAGAAAACTCAAACTGTCTGACAACAACAGGAAGGTGACACATGTTGAGGAGGTTCATTCATATCCTGATCATCCAGACAGATTTGATTACCAGTATCCTCAACTGCTGTGTAGAGATGGTCTGACTGGTCGCTGTTACTGGGAGGTCGAGTGGAAAGTAGAGGTTCAAATATCGGTGAGCTATGGAACAATCCGAAGAAAAGGAGACAGTAAAGACTGTGTGTTTGGAAGGAATGATCAGTCCTGGAGTCTGTTCTCCTCTAATGTTAAGGGTTACTCTGTCGTTCACGGTAACAGAGAAACATATCTGTACCCCCCATCCTCCTCCTCCTCTGTCTCTAACAGAGTAGCAGTGTATGTGGATTATCCTGCTGGCACTCTGTCCTTCTACAGAGTCTCCTCTGACACTCTGATCCACCTCCACACCTTCAACACCACATTCACTGAACCTCTTTATCCTGGATTTACAGTCTGGTTTCCTGGTTCCTCAGTTACTCTGTGCTGAGTTGAGTGTAAAGAGTTTCCTCCTGTTAGAGAAACGCTCTGACTGTTGAACAGATAGTCTGTACATGTCTGTCTCTTTCACTCAGAAACACGTTTTCAGATTCATGGATTCAGTCAGTTAATGTTTTAAACTGTTTTAAATTATGGAATCACTGAACAGCAGTTACCCAAAAGATGAATTTACAAACTGCTCAGAGACATTCACACATTATTGTCTATGGTTACAAGTTTAATGAGCATCCAGGGCTCATTGTGATTTTTACTTTTGCTGTTAGAATGATGAAGCGATAGCTAGACTTTAGCTAGCCTGTAATGGCATTAAATGATCCTTTAGAAAACAGTTATAAATGTATTAGTTCTCAGCTTTGTACATTGCTGAATCATTATTTTGTCTTCCTGGTTTCCAGTTTTCTACTTTCATTGTAAGCCTGTTCAGTTTCCAATCTAAAAATAAAACTGTCTGACTAGCCTGCACGTTACAGTTTGACTTTCCTGTTTTATCAGCAGAAAAAATAGATATCTTATACTAGGGATGGACCGATCCGATATTACGCATCGGTATCGGTCCGATACTGACCTAAATTACTGGATCGAATACTGGAGAGAAATAAAAAATGCAATCCGATCCATTAACTATCACAAAAGCACCTCACAAAACTTGCAACATAGTGTAACCCAGCTTATGACCTTAGCACGTTGGAGGAGTATGCGTCATGTGATAGAGCGGCTGTGGCGTGCGAGACCTGTCGGCGGTCTGGTTGAGCATTTGGAGCCTTGCTACCAAACCGCCATTTCATCTCAGAGAAAGGTATCCCAGAGAAGTAAAGCAAGTGTGTAAGTTTATCTCTGAATGTTTGTAAAGCCTTCCCACGTTAAGCTTACCAACCGATATATGGACCGACTGTCTCTTCTTCTCTCCCCCTCCCTCACCTGTTACTATTTCAATCATGAAACTGATCAATGATCAGCTGATCGGCTTTTCTGTCGTGAGTCCCATCTCTTTTTTGTTTATTGCCCACTTTGCACCAGAAAACCAGCAGATAAACAATAACGGCACGATTAATCTTGATAAGCTGTTGTTATAATTTATTTATTATTACTTTCTACATCAGGATCCTTTTCTACGTAGCTGACGGCTGGTAACTGTGCAGGGGCGGGTCTAGCAAAGTTTAGCCAGGGGGGCCGATAGGGCATTAACAGGGAAAGGTGGGCATAAAGAAATAATTTTCTTTCTTATTATCATTTAAAATGTCTAGCTTTTAATAAATAATTATCTGAATCTTACAACCAAAGTTTTCATCTGATGTAAAATGTATAGAAGTACATAGGGCTGGGCGATATGGCCTAAAATCCATATCGCGGTATAATTTGAAGCACGTGTGGTAACGATATATATCATGATATATTATTTTCTTCTGTATAACGTATTTTCCACACTATAAGGCACACTTAAAATCCTTTAATTTTCTCAAAAAACGAGAGTGTGCCTTATGTATGAATGCTGGTTGTGCTTAAGGACCTCGAACCGATTTGGGCATGCAGAAATCTGTTAAAAAATGTTTTAGTACAACTTTGGTAAGCCGCACTGCTTGATGGATTGCCAGAGCATTACAGCTGCCGTAGTGAGGAGCTTCGCGGAGTAATCTGGGTCCAAAACTCCGTCCGTTTCAGGTCCCAAAGTCAAACGAACACAGAGAGTTAAAAACGGTCTAAACTCTTTCATCTTTGACAAAATCATCAGCGTTGCTGCTTTATCGGGTGTAACAATTAAGTTTAACATCCATGCATCCATGAAAACAGAATTTATTAAATTTAACGGAGTTAGAAGTTAACAGGAAGTTAGCTCGCTAGTTTCCACCTAACCAGACATACCATGTTCTGACTGAGATTTTACAAACTAATTCAAATGTACAGCTCTGCTACCACTTCCAACATAAATGAAGACAGAAAACTAAACAGCAGTGCCGTTTGCAGGGTTATTGAAGTTGGACTACCTGGTATATAATGTTGTGCTACGTGATTGCTACACAGCTATGTTAGCATAACATTAGCACAGTGAAGCTGGAGGATGAACGCCAACTTTTTTCCACTCGAAAGCTAACGTGAGGGATTCTGGTGGTCAGGGACAAATGCAATCGCATAGCAGGATGCTATACACGGGCCAAACTTCAGTCAGGAGAACAACTGAGATTATTAATCCACAATACGAGGTTAGTTATTAATATACTGCAACAACATGGGAACAGAGCAGCTGCAAGAGAATTCAACATTAATGAATTAACGTTACGGAAGTGGAGGAAGTGCAGTTTTTCGCTTTCCCCATATTTCAAAAGTGCTTCATCTCTTTGCTATGACTGTCGCCCGACATAATTTGCAGATGATAATGGTTGTAGCCGCAGCTATGCTTTCGACCAAAACAGGCGCAGCTTGATGACATCATCAACATGTGCTATCTATCGTTTGCCAAATTTATATCGTTTCTATCATATATCGTTTATATCGCCCAGCCCTAGAAGTACATTATTGTATATAGTAACTATTAAGTCTAATATATACCCTAGTAAGCTACAGTACTTTTTCCTTTGGGAAGCTACCATCTGCAATTCTGTTGAAGAAAGATGTTGAATCTATTTAATTATTGTAGAAAAATAATTGATTTCTGTGAATTTGTTTTACACATGCATGAAATTAAAGTCAGTTACATTGATTAAGCATCATGAGGCGGAGGGTGGGGGGTGGTTCCCTGTTTTTTTTTTTTTGTTGTTGTTGTTGTTTTTGCTGGGAGTTTGCAACCCTGTTAGTTAGGCTGTTTAATGTTTCTGTTAAGTACTCTTGAAAATACCAAAATAGGGAGGATGGTGTAGTTTTAAGTTTATTAGATTGATCAGTATTGATGAACTATGGAATATTTTGGGTGCAGTGTATTTTTTGGATAAAGGTTTAACACAATAGCTTTAGTGTTTTGTTTTTTAAAACCTGAGTATGAACTTCTACAAAATGCAGCAAGATATTTAAAAAAACAGTTTTATTCATTATAAAATACACTATCGGATTCATATCGGTATCGGCAGATATCCAAATTTGTGATATCAGTATCGGACATAAAACAGTGGTATCGTGCCATCTCTGTCTTATACATGTTCAAAATATGATGAATTTTCAGGGAATGCCTAAATGTAAAAGAGTTTGACTCCAAGTTGATAATTTGTCCCTTTCCCTTTGCATGTCAAATGTATAACTAAAGACAGTATTTTGGTTGGTGTAGCCTCACAACTGTAATGTACGGAGCCCCGCAAGGGACACTGGAGAAAAAAAATGAAGATGAACTTTTGCGAGATCCCGAGTTACTTTTGTGAGATCCTTTCCTTTGGAGGCTGCCAGGTCGAAGCTGACCGGGAGGTCAAGGCACGATGTGCTGGGAGTGCAGTGTTCTTGCCGGCTCTAGTGGGCCTCGACCTCCTGATCAGCTTCGACCTGGCAGCCTCCAAAGGATGGTGGCTAACAGATGTCTCCAAAAATGTCTGAGGACTTTTGCAAATATGTGATGTCTTGATAAACCAAGCAGATATTTGAAGTTTTCACAGCTACATTCTCGCCTGAAAATATTTTAAACATTTGTTTTGTGACCCAGAAAGAGTAATATTAAAACTAAGTAGCTGCCGACATTGTTGGAAACTGGAATTGGCTTGACCGTGCTATGAATTCTAGGATAGCTTGGGCCACGAAGGATATACCCGACTCATCAGTCAAATTTGGGAAAATGAAAGATGCATTTGGAGCAGCCTTCGAATTGGGACAGCCTTCGTTGCCTGGCTGTGACATAATTGGCCTTCAAATGCGGCCTCCGAAGGATGATATGGCCTAAGTCGCAAAAGTTCATCTTCATGTTTTTTTTCTCCAATGTCCCTAAAACTAAATGGAGGGATAGTAACTGCATGTGCATATGTAAGTGTGTAAAAACTGCAGATAGTAAGATTAACAGAAACAGTATTTTGTCTGTATCTGCCAATTGTAGAAATTCATCTCATGTAAACAATAACATGGCACAAAGCGCAACGTCAAAAACAGCGCACACCTTTGACGTTGCGTGAGTAAATCTGTTTTACTCGTCCACACCTAAATGCAATAGCGTTTAGGTGTCTGCACTTATGGTGATTTCCATCTGTCTGCGCTATGGCTGAGTAGACCTGCACTCACCATCATCCCAGAACTTTTCATCTGTACATAAATGAACATGAATGAAACAGTGATCTCTGTATGGAGACCAGTTCCAGGGGCAAACCTCTTTGCTGTCTCCTGCAGACAAAATATATATTTATGAGTGATTCACTTTACACAGTTCAAATTTGGACAGGTTTTCTGCTTGCAGGCTTTTAGTATATGCAAAGCAATACATTCAACCAGTTGAAAAATTTCCACTTTCCTTGGTTTTGTCATGATTTTGTCATGATTCGCTGTTTGGCAGGAAGGATTGGACCCAAATGCAGGACTCGTAGACGGGAGGTTAAACTTAAAGCGCAGCTGTATTGCTGAGAAAATAGACTTTACAAAAACAAACCAAAACCTCAAAGCAAAACTAAAAATTAAACTGGTAACAAGAACTAAGAAACCTACACTACAAACCTAACAGGAGTACAAGGAAAAAAACCACAGCATGAAGAGGGTACAACACAATACAAGGTAAGGAAAACAGGGCTTAAATACACACTGGAGTAATCAGGGAATATAAGACAGGAGGGAAACACAGCTGAGAGAAATCAGACTTAACAAGACAAGGGAAGCAAAACTAGAAACATCGACACAGACTTTCAAAGTAAAACAAGAAACATGACAGGTAAAACTTAAAGCAAACACTATGACATCACAGACATGGGACCAGGGCAGGCACAGAGACACAGACTACACACAGAATAGAAGGGCTCAAAATACAAAAACAGAAACCAGAACACAGGATAATAATAATAATAATAACCAACAAAGTACAACAATAGAATCAGAATATAACCCATAATGCAAAATCAAACCAAAACATAAGAAACTCAAAATCCATCCATCCATCCATCTTCATCCGCTTTATCCGGGGCCGAGTCGCGGGGGCAGCAGCCTAAGCAAAGAGGCCCAGACCTCCCTCTCCCCAGCCACCTCCTCCAGCTTATCCAGGGGAATACCAAGGCAAATGTCACCATGGCAACCCATGACCCGGAGAAGCAACGACGGAGCCATTTAGTGCGCGACAAACTACAAGTGTTCCAGCGCAGAACAACTTAACTTCAGAGGAGGGTTTTGTCACGGTCCTGGGTCATTTTGACCCAGCATTTTCAGTTCTTATATTCCTTTGTATTATGGTTTGTATTCTGATCCTTTTGTCATGCTTGGTTTATTAGTATTATTCTATGTTTCAGTTATTCTTTGTGAGGGATTAGTTCTTAAGTTGTGTCTCTCATTTAGTGTAAGTTCAGTTCAGTGTCAAGTCT